CAGCAGGAGCACCATAGCAGAAATTTTGTTGTTCCACTTGAAATCAAATAAATCTTTAGTTTTTCCCACTAATCGCCCGAAAATCAACTGCATAGTAGTGTTGCGAAATGAAGATGAAAATATCAAATCACAAACAACGTCGAGAAAAGACCACACCCATGTAGAGTGTAGACGGTTGCTCGAGTAGCGCCAAACTGAACTCATTTGTTGGGCAATCTGCAGAAATGGGCAAAAAAATATATTAATTACACTATCAAATAAGGAAGGAACTAAACACTCCTAAAAATATACAACGAAAAGCAAGTAAATAGCTGAATTATAATGGGGACAACTGTCATTTCACATCATGACCCCAGATCATGCATGACATAAAGGCCAGCAATCAGAGATGTACGATGTCAATTTATGTGGACTATAGATATTTGAAGAAATGAAATACCGTAGATGCACGTTATGGTTAATTGAAACTGTGAACAAGAGATAATTGGTAAGACGAATAACCCTTAAGATCAATATAGAGCAACTAATATTACAAATGGCATGCATTCTCACCTTAATTAACTGCAGAAAGTAGCTTTTAAAAGGTCCACAGATCGAATGAACAAGCAAAATCCAGGAGGAATACCACTGCAGACTATTTGTTGTTTTAGTTGTTTCCAAATTAATATCCAGATGCCTCCTCCTCACAGGTTCAAAACTATGTTGCAAGGGTAAGACGTCAAAAGCATCAGCTCTTTCAGTACCATCAGAATTAATTCCTTTTCACTTGGACAATCTATAGAAATAGGCAAGAAAATGTTGTTAATTACAACTTCTAAAGCATGTAAATCAGTAATATTTTAATGTGGCGATGTGGTGTTAAAGTTAGAAGGTAACTTTTGCACTGATGGAATGGCCAGCTCCACATTTTGCTTCTGCCGCTTCTAAAACGTTGTTAAAAAGTTGTCTAACGAAAGTAAGCTACAAATGCTTAAGAAATTGTAGTTTCTGGGACCTGGATTAATATTTTTAATTGATACAGTTTACTCACCAGTTCATTCGTCATAAATCCTTCCTTCATCAATGCCACAATGTATCCCTTCTCAATGGAAAAAAGGCACTTTTGTGCTTCTTTTTAGGATAGCTACTTTCTGAATCGAATGAACACTGACACAACCAAGGCACTGTAAATTAATGCCATCCAGGGTTTTTTTAATGTTCCTGTGAAATGAAATCTTATAAGTATTCAGATATAATTAATTAGCCTCCTTGGTAAATAACGTGCATGACACAATACTAAAGTTAATATCAAACAAATATACTAATTATGCCATGTATGCTCACCGTAATTAATTAGAAGATTCTCCAAAATGAAACGAAACCATGACGGTCAACTTGCTTTTTTTTTCAGTTGCATCAAAATGAACACTCTTCCATTCTTATTTATCATCAATCTGTAAAAATTGAGAAGAAAAACGAATAAACTACATTATTAAACAATTAAGACACGAAATACAATGAAAGTACGCACCGAAAATCAAATAAAATTTCAAAATTTTAAAAATGGCGACGTAACATCGTTTTTAATAAAAGATGGCAAAGAGATGGACAAGATCGTGTAACGGTGTAACACAGCAAGATCTATAAAATCCATAGATTCATAAATAATTGTCAATTTATGCTGCGGATATATAGATAACTATGAAGGAAGAGCCTACAGAGCCTAGATGAAAAAGCAAATCACCAAGTCAACATTAATTATTTTACGTCTGTTCTTACTATAAATATTCTTCCTCACTTCCCTAGAATCTTTAATCGATGTTCTCTTTCAATATTTGTTCTCTATGAACTCTCATGATACGAGTCGACAAATGTAGTGGTGCTAATTTGATTATTTCAGAAAAAATTTAGATAAACTGAAATTTTGCAATACATACAAAGTTGCGAAATTAGGATAGCTACTGCATGAAGCACTGATGACGTAGAAAAACGCCAATCAGAAGCGAAGAATACGATGAATCTTGTGACTATTATCATTATATCTCTATCCTGTCATCTACGTTAATAACTATGTTTTTTGTCCGCATTTTTATAACTATAAAAACCATTAACAGAAATAGTANAAATTTCATTTTTATTTTTATTGGTTTTGAGTACCTAACGTTACTTTTACGTAATAAATTTGAGCATATAACACAGTAACAAGAAGTTGAGATTACGGACGAATAAATTTTCATTATTTTGGCACAATATTTACCTTGTTTGTATTTTCTAATTCTTGATTTAAGTAATTAACGAGAGAACATGCATCTCCTAATTTGAAATGTGAAAATTTGAAAGTTATTATTGTTGTTTATGTTTGCACTTACTGTATGTGGCCAATTACTTTAATGTCCTTTTGTAAAATAGGTTTTTTTAAGTGACTCAATGTAACTGGAATCATAAATTACTCCTTATAAACTTTATAATGGTATTGAAATGCCATTTAAGTTTGTTTTTACATCTACTGTCAGTAATATTTAACGAGCTTTTGCAGTAGTGTAAATGTTACTTTAACTGATTCATAGTAATGTTCTTCGTTAATTTAATTGGGACATTTAAAAGTCAGTATTGCTTAACTTTGCAACTATTGTACATGGTTAGTTTCAGCAGTACAGTATGAACCGAAGTAAAATATTTTATTTAGTTTATTGCATATTCGCGGGGTATTAATATAGGTACCTAATATTCATATATTTAATAAGCCCTTTTCAAATTTTTGTTTGCCTTCGTGGAATATTATTCTAAACTCATTTTAACTCTACATCAGATGTCGTTTAACGAATTTCTATGTGTATAAAGTCTTCATGTAGCAAAAATCAGAGCGTTTCATACATATACATGATTTCAAGGGGTCTCTAAATTGTAATCAAGTAATAAAATATATTTTGTCTTTGAAGTAAATTTTTTTTTTTTGATCGTTAAAAACATCAAAACCGTTTGACTTATAAAAAAAAGTGAACCTACGGTGGAAAGTTTATTTAGTTCAAATAGAGACCCTTATTTGAAGCTGTTTAATTTTGAAACGCTCCGTATCTTATGCACTATAACATCGATTTTATTGTGGATGGATCGTGTTACATTATTATCGATATAACAATCTCAACTAGAGATTTAGCAACGTTAAAAATGTTTCATTGATAATAATAAAGTATTATGTTTTGGATGATTCTTTGTCATAAAGAATTATGGCAAAACTTGGTTTTAAAGGTAATTAACAAATGGTATCTATTTACTAAATAAAAATAAAAAATAGTACATGGAAATAAATTGTCTTATTATGGCAAATAAGAATAAATAAGTGGTAGATAGAAGGGTTAGATTAATTTTGATAATAAGAATGTGATAATACTTATATTATGCTTAAAAAGTGATGTGTGTTTCATTTGCATAGGCGCACGATTGAAGTAAAACTTCTTTCTTCTTCTTTAAACAATAACCATCCAATTGTAAATGAAAAATAAAACACCAAGTGGGTTTTCAAGTATATAATGAATGCAGCTCATTACTGAGCACGGATGCAAACGAGGCAAGACGAGGCAGAACGAATGTCTTGTGTTTGAGATATCAGTCAAGGCAAAATAACGAATGAGGCAGCGACCCATGCAGTATGCCACAAACAAATGCGGTCCACAAAGAATCTTTGAAGTACCGCCTCCCGACGAAGGCGTTCGTACTGCCTCGGGTCATACAACGTACGCTCCGAGGTAGTTTGCCATGCCCACATTCATTTGCTCGTTTTTCCTCGTTCGTATTCGTTTTCAGATGTAAACGCATCCTTATTATACTTTCTATTCATACAAACGTTGCGCATTGCCTTTTCTCGTATCTTTTTTTGCTCTTTTATAATTTACTAGCCTCACTCGCGTTAAAGAAATTTTACTTCAATATTAAGATAATTAAATAAGTACGTAACTAGAATTAATATCAGTTAAATTTTAAAAATACTATATCAATATTTTTTTGAAATTAGTAAAAAAATATGAATTAATTGCTATAAGTACAGAGCATATCAGATAATATTAATCAGTCCAAAAAACCTAAGGTAGGAGAAATATATAGGATAAGATATAATTTGATATGAGGGTGAATTTTAGTATCTATAAATAAAGACACTCTTACAATTACCACTTTACATAGGTATGCTAATAAAGCCAACAACATTTTTATTTATTTAAATTATAAATAGTGATAGTTAAATGAAATATACATTAGATATATATTTTTAAATTTTATTACTTAT